ATGAGTCTTGATAATTACGTTATGTTAATTGAGTAGATTCTAATGCCTTCATTTCTTATTTTCTTATCATGAAGGCATGTATCTTCTTCACCCAAATGTCCAGAGTATCCTTTTTTTATTTGCCTGATTAAACACGAGAAAAAAGGCTTGTTTAATCCTGAGTAGGGTCAAACGAAATCAATCCAGGCCTAAGCCAAAAGGTAGCGCCTAGGTGCAAATTATGTAAAATACAAATCATAAAAATCCTACAATCTCTTCTCACAAAGAGACTTTATGAATACCTCCAACTCAAGTTTCCTCATAATGGGCAAAATTTGATTCCAAGCAAATATCTTAATCTGTGAAACCATTTTAGGATATAAATCACATATATATATATAGCATAGATAGTTATGATTTATTGAAAAGTTATTAATTAAAAATTGACAAGGAATGCATAAGTTTTAATGCTTTGCTAAAATTCTGGTCTAAAATTCGTGTGAGCTATAAAGCAATTTGTAAAGAGAATAAAAAAGATGACAGTAAACTTACTGCCTGCTGAAGTATGCGTTTATCTTCATTTAGAATAAAAACTGTCATGTATGGTGTGAAGATGGCTGTGTAGATCACCAAAAGCAGGATGAACCAATCCCATACAGCTCTAATTGGACTGTAATGCTTCAGAGTGTATTTGTGGATGCGAGGCGACTGGAGGCGGTGCTCCATTCCGACATCCTCATCCAGTGAAAGCATCTGATCAGCATGAAAATAGGCACAAAATGTGAGGTGCAAAGTAGAAAAACCAAATTAAATAAGCTACTTTTTTTGCAATATTTCAAAATAAACTTTCACTAAATATTTGAACCTAGATTCATGTTATAGAAGTTGCTTGACCTTGTTTTCGCAACTTGGTCATATTGGTAGGAAGACCTGGAGGAACGCATTTAGTCCAGATTCCATAGTACGCATGATTACTTCCAGAGTCGGATCGTGAACGTGGTAGATTCTAAGAAGTTTCACCGGCATCACAGTCAG